TAATTTTAATTTATCAGTTAAAAAATTAGTCGGCCAATCACGTCTCAAACATGTCTGATTTCTCACATTTAGCTGACTATTAAATACTGCACTACAGAGTACTTCACTCATTCCGCAGTTGCACACGCAAGTAAACAATCAAAAATCTTTACAAAAATACCCTGAACAATGTTTACAACACGCACGGAACAGTCATGTGTCATTTTCGTATAACCTAATCGTCAACTTCCAACTCTATCACCGCCTGTATAATTATGCTGATCAATGGAAAACCCCAGTCATACCCTAGTCCTCACAATTATTATTTGTTATATTTACAATTACTCATGCCTCTCGATTTACAACTAAAGGAACTGCCAAGTCTGATATTGTTTACACATACTCTGCCAAACCCATACAGTACCATACGATTGAGATCTATAAAGCTTCAAAAGTATGCAAGTACTGCACACGTCCTGTATAATTTGAGCATTATATGCAACAGAAACAAGACAAGGAATACGCTGGATTCCAGGGAATCTCAAATCTTTTTTCTTCATGAGAACGAGGCAAATTTTAATAATCTTTTCCCGAATTCTCGACACTTCCGCAAACATCGACAATACGGGTCAACTAGGTTACCATGTGCTATGAATTATCCCAACGTGCGATGAACGACCGGAGATGACTTAGAAAATTCGTTCGAGAAATCGAAGAGTACAATTTGTGCAGGTAGAAAATGATTGCTGTCAGTGACCACGCGGGATCGAATCGGAAGCTGGATAAACTTCAACGATGCATGAAATAGTAAGCAGTGGAATCAACTACAGCAGTATGCACAGATTCTAAAGCAGAAAACGCGATAGAATCATCAGGCCGGCATCAGTCGGAGTCTCAGCGGATCCAAACGAAAAAAGAGTGCGTGAAATGGGTCGTTCTCCAACGTTGCCCAGATCATGCGAGAGCATGGATGCGGCTGGTCAATGCACAGCAATCGAGATTGACAACGCGTGAAGAAAAAAAATCCCTTCACGGGCGCTACTTCAGCATATCCGAAGTCCACAGGTGAATGAATGATGAAAGGGAATGAATGGAAACATATTCTCCCGGAGGCGACCCGCGGACAATGCGTACTGAAATGACCAGTCATATAGCTTGGTTTTGTGCGGCGAGTTGCTACACTTTTCTCAAAATCGGCCCCCCGAGTCCGTCGAAGACAATCTCGTCGGCGAACAAAGGTAATGGATCTTCACCTGCCCGTTCCCACGCATAGTTTCTAAAGAAATTCATCTTCTTGCCACCGCCGACTTTTAAGAAGTTTCACCGTTCTTTTAATAAGCCGAGAGACTGGCAACAGTCTCTCCCCTCCTGAAAAATATTCGACAAGTCGTACTTCAAAGAAGATATCTAAAAATTACTTAATCAGCACACATTAATAACTTCAGGTACAAATATTTGCTCAAAACCCCACACCATAGCAGATGCAAAAAAAAAAAAAAAAGCGACACATCCTCGAGCTATGAATTATAATCTAATCTTCTCAGGACTTGTCAGATAAGTATCTAGCAGCTGTAGTTCTTAGCATGCTGTTCAAAAATAATAATAATTACGCACAGTACGTCTCGGAAACTTCATATACAGTAAATGACATTCGTCTCTGCGGAAGACTTAAAAACGTCTTGAACGACGATTTTGAATGCAGAGAAAATTCCCGAACGAAAAATACCATGTTGATTATTTTTCTTGACGGCGATGGGATATCGTCCGTTGTTTCGAACGCACGATATAATTCCAGACAAAAACCTAGAATTGCTTGCATGCAGCATTACCTCACTGCAACTGAGGATTTGGAGGAAAATAAATTACGATACGGTACCAAGAAAACCGCACCTGTATATGGAATTGAAGTACAGGCTTGGTACGAGGTGTTGTACATTTTTGTTTCTCTTGTTGAATGTATATGGGGATTGACGTAATGTTTGCTGCATATAATCATTACCTGGGCACATTCCGAGTTTGGCTCACCCAGATTGGATTGGGGAGAAACAGGGTTGAAAGGGTTATCTCTCACATCAGAGATCAAGGAACTAATATTCTCTTGCTATACTCACATTTATAACTTCGCTGGCAATCAGGCTGCCATCATATGAAGGTACATGTATTTCAGAAAAGCTACATTAAACGAGATAATTTTCTTTACGAAAATATCCTAGGTAATAACCTTCGAGATGAAAACAAGAGTTTGACAAGTTCGGAGATGTTGAATGTGAAGGCGGCTTTGAAATTCTACAATGTTGATGGAATCACAATAACAAAAAGTTATCAATTAAGTCAAGGCTGCAATTCAAATTTTTCTTAGAAAACGAAGAAATCCTCACACTTCAAGTCCCCCTTAGATCTCAGTACGGATCGCACAACTCCGACCCAGAAACTTCATATCGTAAATTTTCCGTAGATTTGGACATAATTCTTTCACTCCAAGGGATTTTCTCCAGGGGCTCTCCCGTAAATCAACCCCATCGGTCGATTGGTTCCCGCCAATTTCTCCCAATAGATAAACAAGATCCGGAAAACAGTGGAGTACAGGGTTGGTACACGGTGTTGTACATTCTGTATTTCTCTTATTGAATGTATGAAGAGATTGACGTAATTTTTGCTGCATATAATGATAACCCAGCACATTTCTGAGTTTGGCTCACCCAGATTGGATTATTGGGGAGAAAATAGAGTTGAAAGGGTTATCTCTCACACCAGAGATCAAGAAACTAAAATTTTCATGCCATACTCACATTTATGCACACTTGCAGTCGCACTTCAAATTTGTCGATGATTATTACGTTGATGGGCTTCGAACTGTGGATGGGAAGAGGCGAACGTAAACTCGAATCACGGACGGAAGGCTTCACTAAAAGATGATCAGTGTTTGGTGCATATATGTTCGGTGTTCCGCAGTCGCAACAAACGCGGGAGGGGTAATTGCATCAGTTTTGCGATACGCGAAGCATAACAAATGTCTTCTACAAAGCCGATCTCAAAAGACAATGAGCAGCTCCGGTTTTGATTGATCGATTAGACTGCGCAGAATGTATCAGCAAATCGCAGCGATTACTAATTTGACAGCCCCAACGGGTCATTCCGCCAGAATTTCTCGCGAAAACCCGCACTTCCGAAGTTCGGGCCCATGCGTTTCCCGGCGGCAAGCAAAGAAATCCCGCCTTAGAGAAAAAACCCGGGCGCTCCGTGACGATGACACGCGATGATTGATCGGCGCAGTCACGCGATCAACCCCTCTCATTCATACCGTTCTTCGTCTGATTTTCTTGTACGCATCGCAGGTAATGAATGACCGCGCTGACGGGGAAAAGAGTAACTTGGAGTAGCGAGATGCGCCGTTATTGCGTGCTATGGTTTCACAATAGCTTAATGTCGAACTGGCAGCTGTAGTCGCTGTCATTCCGGAATTCGTCGTCCAACAACCACAGAGGGAAGGTGTGCACGCTTGAATGGGCACAGCAAAATCTAGTTCGAACAATTGAACACAACTCACCGATTATTCCTTCCGAAATTCTGTCGGCTGCTGGCGTATGAAATGAACGAGTTCTTCCCGCGACGACGAAAAATAAGAAACAGCACACCTTCACATTTACATAGATCACTTGGAACCGAAGAATAATCACCGATATATTCGGAGAGTGTAGTTTCATACAAAAATCCCGAAGAACCATCGCGCTGTTGAAAACAAAAAACGATACAGCATAAGTGGACTTTCGCCAGCCATTTTTCCGAATGCATGCCAACACTTGAAATTTTTTTAAATTTCAGACTATTCCCTCGAGCATCGTACTACGATTTCACGCGAAAACGCAGAAGAAACGTAATGTCGATTTTAGCAAAAAAAGGAACCAGCAACAGCACTTCGGTACTCGAGCAATAAGTTTCTGTAGTTCGATCCATCGCAATAAGTACTGTATATTCGAAGGCTTGTTATTATTGCGAAACAACGACACATACCACTTCAGGACTGCTGAAGGTGAACACAGACCAAAATATCGAAGATCAATTTGGTGTATAAGCAATCTTCCCTCATGGTGGAAATTACATGCATCTACTGTACAGTATAAATACTGTAGTGATACAACACCTCATCGATTTACCTCGGGACGCGCGTTCGGTCCATAACAGAATCAAGTGTTCTGTCATTCTGTTCGTATTTCCATCCATTAAATTTCATATAACTGCACCGAATGCAATGAAAACTATAAAATCAAGTTTGACGGCTTTTCCGTTTCAATAATATATCGACAACTAAACCAAATATTCTGAATGATACTTCTTTGCACAGTTAAGTGAGGGTACAAAATTATACGACACATCGTAACAGAGTCCCCTTCACCGCAAGATGCATCAATAAGCTCGCTTACGGGGACACATGACTATAAATTCATACACATCCGATTTGCCATGTGCTATGATGTTACTTTCACAGATACATGCATTTTAATGCTCATAATAGTTATTCCAAACAACTCATATATTCATGTACTGTACTGGAACTTCCGGGCGTCAGCTCAACCGTTCCGTGCTCAAATAATAATATACACACCACCCAAGTGAGCTTCACAGGAACATCCTAAAATTTTTTTCATAACTTATTCAAAGTAAGATTTAAAATGACCGGCAGTTGTTCGACCTCTTCTTTGTTGAAGTTAACTTTCTCGATTATTCATTGCATGATCATAGGGGAAACTGGAACTTTCCGGTGGCTTCGATATTCCACAACGCTATAAATTGAAAAGCTCTAAAATGGACAAATGCATACCACAGATTTTCACTCGCGAACAGCTCAGCAAAGCATTGTCCCAATACAGAGTGTGAAAAGACTGATGCAGTGATCCAGGATGACTGTTCCGAGTTGAAACACCTGTTCAAAAAACAAATTTTCAAAATTAACGGGAAAATATGAAGGGATGCACAGCCGCTATTCTCGACGAGATTTGCGACAGAGTCACATGAAAATCGACAACGAGTCAGAAATGTTACATATATTCTTCAAAAACGTATAGAAAACGCGATACAAGATACACTTATTCAGAACTCAAGCGTCGGAGTGACCACTTCCTGTCCACTATCAAGCCGAGACTGCGAAGATAACTTGACATCACGAAGTCCGGATAAATCTCAATGCCGACGGAACAAATGGAACGCAGTGCAACAGGCAGTGGCAATGATCCCTCGCTCAAGAATGAGACACGCATATCACAGGGCGATCTAAGCGGATTCAAGCAGAGTTGCTAATGCGTCCACGAACCTGGTCACATCCGTCTTCCGTATTCGTATAACTAAACAAAAACTCAAATTCACCGACGCTACAAGGGTTACCAAAATACAAAGCTCTCACTGGAAGTGTCGAAGGAGTTTTGTTCGGCTTCAACCTCAGTTCGACTGATGGCATGCTCGAACGCTCTACCAAATAGGCTAAAATAAAAATAAATTCATCCAGAAACCTCGAAAACCAGTGTAGAATTCAAGTCAACTCACTTCTTTGGTGAATCTTGAGCGAGCGGTGGGATGCCTACGACGAACTGATGCTCGATGGACTGCGGGTCGGGCAAAGCCATTACCAGAGGCCAAGTTCGAGCTTTCCGATGCCGTTGAGCAGCAGCATTAGCTTCAAGTAAGAACTGCGCGAGCATATGGAGCCAAGGTGGACACCATAAACTCTTTGCATCGCCACATCCCTTCCGACAGATGAAAAATCACGCAGAACTTAAAAATCTCCACAAACGGCACGACTAAGCCCAGGTGATGAATAACCGCACGAAGCGTCGTGAACATCGAAATTTTAAAATAAATCAATAGAAGAGCATAACTTACATCCGACACCACAACATATAGAAACGAGCCCAGGACGGAAATGCTTTGCATATCCAGTAGCACTTGGGTAAGACGAAAGACACTGGACAACTGGTGTTTGGCAAAATTAATGCCTTCAAGAACAGGATTCAAATTATCTCTGTGAATATGGAGAAAAACATTTGAAATAGTTCAGAATGAGACACACAAGAACTTACCTCCGCAAAGCGCTAAAAGCTTTGAGAAAATGTTCTTCTCTCGACTGATGCGGTTCCTAAAATGGTAAAATATTGCGGGATGTACGACAGTATTGAAGAAGGGTTGGCTTTCCGGACTTACATACGGAGGGTCCATCAGAGACTGCAACGCCAAGGCGAAGTCAATTGCAGAAAACTGGTACTTCATTCCGATTTTGGCAATGAAGGTCGTAATCGAAAGATTCTTAATTTTGTACTTCTCAGCTTTGCCTTCCAGAGCTGTTCGAAGTTCCTTACGCAACACGATGTCCATACTCGCATAGCTCTGCTTAACTTCCACCAGAGGAAACCTAGGGAATCGGGAAGATGCTTCAAAAGAGCGAAGTCACTACAGAAAAACTGATCTTACCCAAGCTCGGCTAGAAATCCTAGAAGACCTCGTTCACCTCTAGTCGACCACAATTTGAACCGACAAGCAACTTGACGACTATTACGCATACTATCCCATAGACTCCAATGCTGATACAAGGGTAAATTTAGCCTGCGAAAAACTCGAAAGAATGATTTAATCGGTGGAAGAGCTACCAAGGCACTCACTCTTCCGCGATGGCAATGTGCATTCCGCGGGCGGTATTCCTTCTCAATGTGTTGCCATCGCCGCTGGCAACGGGTAATCGTGGATTCAATCGCAACACGTGAGGCTGCATTCGCGTGAGCTCCAAAGCGTATGTATCACGTCTAATTTTGCCATTCACGAGCATCTCAGACATCCCGACGACCGCCCACCAGAGGAGATCGTTAGAATCCTTCGTCATCTTCCACGCCAACTCGAACATCATGATGGCAGTCTAAAGAAGAAAAGGACACTGTTAGGAGCATTCGAATTTCAAGCCGAATTCACAGCCCAGAATCGTTATCCTCCCGGACAAGATTAAATTTCCACAGACAAGAGTACAAGCAATCAACAAAAGATGATCTCGGAAACTGTCGTACCGAAGGCCCATAATATGAGAACTCGTTATAATCCAAGAGGATTCGACGACGCTCATCCTCCCATTGACGACGTTTTGCCCGTCTCAACACAATATCTTCATTTAGGCGCTGACGCTTCCGCCCCCTCTCATTCTCTGGATCGTCCTCCTCATCTTCATCTGGCTCTTCGTCTGAAGACTTCAAAATTTTGAAATGTCTGGCATTGACAGCTCATACATGACTTAAATAAATCACTCACGTCCTTCCGATAAATCGCGTCGTAATCGGGAATATCCGCAATTTCTTCTCGCTCAACGTCGAGCCGACAAAGCAGATTAATCTGAGAAATGCTGTGGAAGTTTGCAACGTCTATTGGGCGATGGTGATCAGCAACGAACACAATAATTTCATCGTCTTCCAGAACATCCGTTACGTCAATAGATGCCCCACAGTTGATCAGCACGGCGTACTTGACTTTCCCCTTGAATTCTTTGAAAGTGTTCCGACATTCGTCCACGGTTTGAATCGTGACCATCGAGTGCATGATCTCATCGCACCGAAATAATGTGAGAAGTATTTGAGTAGCACAAACAGCGTCGACATCATGGTGAGCGATGACCAGCACTCGCTGAGAGCGAAAAAGAATAACTTGAGCGACAGTTACTTTCTATATTCCCTTTCCTCTAACCTGGGTACTTTTTCTGACGACATCGTAAAATCCTTCCCTAACATTCTCCACCAGCATCCTTATGCCGCGGTCGAAAATAAAATGTTAGGAAAACACTTCGCAACAAGCGACCATTCTAGAAAATCAAAAAGTCACTCAATAGTTACTTCTTACAGAAGCCTGGAGTTCCTAAAAAAAAAAAACACATATCTACGGCGTACACAGTCTTTTTTGGTTTGGAAGAATAAGGGAAAGAACAATCAGTAAAGATAATCTGAGTTAAAATTCCATTTGTGCAATCTGAGCACCTCTGCGCGTCGGATGTATTTTGCGGCGCATGGGAGACCTTTCGTTCCTCTGTGCAGAAGGGAAGTTGCCGCCTGAAAATTTAACGTCATCATGGAGTACCGAATACAATCATAAAAAGCGAGAACCTCACTTTGAGATGACAGGCATGGTGCTCTCGAACTCTATCACCCGTTTGCTTAAACATCTTCACGGACCGCGAAGCTGCATCTTCGCATACTGGCAAATAAACGGACTCTTCCAAATGGCCGTTCACGATGAGTCGACCGATAATTTTGGCCTTAGCGAGTTCGTAGCGTCCAGTGAGTAGATGATCACCAAGCTGGTAAATTCTGGTTTTTATGCTGGTTATTGTGGCTAAGCTTTTCGCTGGCAATCCCATAATCGCCTATTACAGTTGACAGATGAAACGTAGTTAGTACGACATGCCTCACAAAATAGAATGCTACTCCTTCAGGATTCACGGAACCGTTGAATTCCTCAAGAACGGAAAAGAAGTTCTCAACAGAGAACGCACCTGATAACTCGCACAAAGAATGACAGCATTCCAGCCCAAATTCACAAATCGGTACTTCCGGCAAAGATGCATCGCCACGCTCAAATCCTTCAAACCTCTCTCTGGATTTTCCACAAGGAAACACACAAACGCGCGAATCAGCCGAGCTTCGGCTGTCACGGAAGCAGCTTCACAGGCGGTGATCCTGAACTCCTTTTCGGTGCACCTCGACGGACGACAAGCAGCGTCTAAAATTGTTTGCCCTAATGAATATGCCTCTTCAGGGAACCCAGCGTAGACGGTCGCTTCCGCTTCCCTGCGACAGAAGATGTTTAGCAATTGAGCAAACAATTTTGTACCTTCACTACGAGATACAGTAGGAATAGTTCAGCATGAACTTCCGGTTCGACGACTTACAGCACCAGACCTTGCAAAGGCTTATACACTTGTAAGTATCTGGCACATTCGATGGCTTGTATCCACTGTCCTCTCTTCAAGAATTCATGATAATGAATAAACATCTGCATGGATTTCCAAGTGTGTTGTAGTTCCAGGACGGTATCATATCGACAGACTTGTGCATGACGAGTTTTGATCCAATTGAGTACTGCTATCGCTAAATGTAAGCGCCCCTATTCGAAATGAAGTAATTCTTCAAATGAATTGCACATAGAATGTCTAAAAACATCGTCTCACTTGTTTGTACAAACGTAAAGCTTTGACGCACGCGGCAGTGGGTACTTGTGGTCCCCAGCAAATCTTCAGTCGAGTTATATCCCGACAATCGGTGTTCAGCAGTACATTGGCATACATATCAGCCATGCCGTGTTTTCCTAATCCGCACGACCATGACATACGATCGCTGCGTATCATAAGAGTAAGGTCCGCTTCCAGTGCGTTCAACGATAAATGCTCTGCCCATCTAAGAACCTACCCACAATGAAAGGTAGTACAATGCGCTCATGAAGAAACTATTGAAAACCACAAGCATCCACTCACCTCAAATACTCGAACAGGTCGAAAATACCGGACCCATTTCTCGCGGAGTATGGCAAGATAACGATCAATAGCAAGACGTCCCAACCCGTATTCAATTAATCGGAAGATCAGACGACCGGCGGTTTCTATCTATAAATATGATCGTCATTTTTTGAATCATCTTTAAACAAAAAACTTACTCTGATTTGGTCTGCTCTCTCCCAAGCTAGCGTAACAAGTATCAGAAGAAGTGGAATATCACGACAGTACAAAGCGTCTTCAAGCGCTTCAGTGAGTGGAATCTGGTAATACGTCCTGTTGAATTGAGGAAAAACCGACAGTCTTTCGCAGTAACATACACAGTACGCATACTTACGTTCCACCGAATTCGAAGCCCCAGACAACTAGATTCTTCACAGCAGCTCGAATGCTGTGTTTTGGCTGACGCAGCATCCACTGTCCAATATTCAATGCGTACTTAATGGAATCTCCGGCAATATTGTCACTAGTCTCATGCAACATAGCTTCTGACGTGTTGAGATCACGGAATTTGATGGCGTTCAAATAGGCTAACATGAACTAAAGGCCATACACTCAGAAATCAAATACAATAAAATCCGCGTCAAAAGTTTCCACTCACCAAAGGCCTCATATTGCCATCTTTACATGTCTGATACACGTCCTGCAACCGTTTACTCAATTCAGCACCATGCATGGAACGAGGATCTCGACTATGCATCAGTTCAGTTTGGGACTTGATGAACTGAGAGGCATTTTTAAACGTCCAATGGGGATAACAATCAGCCAAGAACCTATTCAGAAAAAGATCAAACTGTAGAGTTCGTGAGACTGCCGTCGCGCTGAACTTACCGACACTGAAATTCGTCCACATACTTCTCCGGGGATTCATGCTGAAAGCAATCGGGAACATCGATCCCTCCTACCTCGATGTTCGAACAAATCGATTGAATAAGCCGCTCACACTCGGCGAAATACCGATAGCAATTCCGCTTGAAAACGGATTCCACGTTGCACTCCAGGTTTTTCATGGAAACGTCGATCTTTCTCAAAAAATGCCCTGAAAATGAAAATCGAAAATCTCGTCAAACACAACTGGTTGACCAGAGTGAAAGATTACCTGTCGCTGAAGAAGTCAAAATGCAAAATCTGAATGATGGAATTTCTCGAGACAGCATCATCGAAATATGTACTCCCAAAGAATCGATTTCAGACGCAAGTTCCTCACTTCGCAGCATTCTTTGATAGCGAAGGAACACTCGAACCCAAAGCATTTCAGGAAATTCATCCCACACGTGCAGGAAGAGGTCGATGACCCGACTGAGAGGCATGGCAGGGCACTGAAAAGTCACCAATGAACTTCTGATTTTTAACCACCAGAAACCCGTAAAATTCACAGTATTACCGTGATTAGCCGGTGGATCATCTTGGCCATAAGAAAACTCTGTCGGCGAGTAAACGCGCCATACGGTTCCGTTCCGACGATGTTCAGATCACTGGCAATCTCAACTGTAAGATGAAGTTTTTAATTGCATGAACTTCACTGTATTTGAAATGCTAAAAATTACCTCTTGAAGACTGGCAAAAACCAAACCCTCTCATTCGCATGTAGTGATACTCACGAACCAGGATGGCCACGGCAATCGAGTGCGGCATCAGAATGCCGTGTAAGCCTTTATCCTTAGAATAGCCGGGTGCTGGACGTCGAGGCATGTTTATTCTGCTCGTCAAACTTACTTATCACGCAGAGAAACTTAAAATGATCCATGCCCTACTCACGGTGTACTTTTTCCATTCGGTCCAGCGATGACATTTAAGCAGGGTGGCGCGGAAGAAAACTTCCACGAAGTTTTGTCGTCAAGTTATATCACGAACACATCGAGAAGAATCACGAAATTCCACAATTTAAATGAAAAAAGTTAGAGCATTTCTGGGTTGGAAGAAACAAACGTGATTCGAACGTGCAAAAAATATTTAAGAGGATGTTTCGATACGTGTGTGGTGACCACGAAGGCATCACAACCATCACGAGAGGTTGAATAGCCTCGACATGGAATAGAATTCCTCCGGACACGCCATCAACACCGCACGATACACGTACACTCCGTCTTCATCAGCAACCAACGGAAATCCAGTCTGAAAACGAAAACTGCTTCTGTAACTAGGTCGGAAATTCTTTCCGGTCAATAATGTTCCAAGAAACGCGAAAATTCAGTTTCGCTCTTCTCGAATGGGATGATCACTGACATCAGCAAGATCGCTAGGACCTCAAACCGAAGTCATCAGATTTGGCTAGGTAACATCATTTCTTATTAAGAATATAACTTCCAACAGTCGAACATCGACTAACGGAAATTGAACGAACGACCAAGAGGATAAAATGGTATGATTACAAAAAATACTTACGGCAATATTCACTTATATTGGATATATTGGAAGGAGTGAGATTGATCCATCAGTTACCTGAAATCACAACGGTATCACTTTCGACCAATGGTAATGATTTCGAATGCCAGTAAAATTCATGCCGCGTGCCTTTCGATCACTTAGGGGGTAATCCAGAACACCAGCGTATTAGTGGCCTTCCGAAAATTGAAACAAATATTTTTTCCAGGGATGACACAACGTTCTCTTCCCTGAACACCCGCATTGTCGAAACAGACACTGATCTTTAGTTCATATGCTGTTCCGCGCGCTTTTACATGTGAAAATTAACGCCTTCGAACGCAGTGGTCGGGTGAATAAGTGGGCGATTTGAACAGGCGACACTGTACGGCCTCAAACAAGGGTGTTCGGTTCATTGACCTTCGATACCCGTTACAGCACCAAGCGTTAACCTGCGCAGAACTTCAGAAGCTATTTTTTCAACAAACCTTTCTTGCGAAATATTAAATAGCCCAGGTGAACTGAAGGAAATCGAGCAACGCGAAAAATTTGTCGCAAAATACATGTGATCTGTTGAGATCACATGGATGGAGAGATGAAACTCAAATTGTACCAGCAGCAAAGCTTGATACTGTACAGTACGACTACCATATTCTAAATCGTTCAATTGTCCAAAGCATGAAAGTAAAATAAAAGAGTAATTCAACACAATTTAATCAAGCTGCAAAACAAGGATAACACAGTCGAAGCACAAACGGCATAAATAAAACAGTCCGCTGAACACAACGCTCATTTAATTTTGCCCTCCACAGAATTTCATCGCGGGTCTAATGCGTGCGAAACATTTACAGCCGTTACTAACGGCAAATCCAGTCATGATTTTCCACATCTTTAACTTCCTCAATGAAGATGAGCTGACACATAATGCACACGCAGCGGCAAATTTTCGACATCAAGATTTCTGACATCAATAGAGCACAATCTTTCAAGCGACACAAAACAGCACACGACGAATCTCCAGTGGGATTCAACGTGAAGATTTTTTTTCACCTTCAAGGCGCAAGACATCTATGAGGCATCCCAGGATTCCGAAGAACCTTTTCCGTTGATGAATAATCGAAGACGATTACTTCATAGAAAGGGAATGCCTCGTACATCAAAAATTTAATTTAGATTACAACTTCGTCTCTGACAGAGCTGAGTCCTGTGAGCCGACATCAAGACAATCATTTTCATTCATTCGAGTTTTTGAAGCGCCTTTGGGGGAAGTCTTCGAAGTCAGAGATTCTTCCATGTCGAACGCCGTAAAGCAACGGCGTCTATCCCGGCCGCCTCCGTTCCCCGTCTGGCGGCGGCGGCCGGCGATTTCGTGTCCTCATTTGGTCGTCTTGACGGGCTTTTCACCATCCGTCTCCATTTGAAAGCCAACCTCGGTTTCCTCGGTGTACCTGGGAGCAAAAAATTTAGTAAGTTACACTTTCCATTTAACCATTTATGGCATTTCAACTGCTGCAGCTCTGAACCCAGCTGCAATATTTATTATAATTATTTATTTTCATTAAAAATGCATTCTCTTTACAACGGAATTCGAGGGGCCAGGAAAAAATTCGTCGTAGAGAAACCTCACGAGACCACAAAAAATCGTTATGCAGACAAAATCTTTCTAGACAAAATGGTTGCACAAAGAGTCTACCTGCATTGTACTGCATACCCCCATGTCCCTCAACGTTTCTCGGTGCCTTTTCCATTCGCCAAATTTTCAATATTTCATTGGGTTAAATTCGGCCAGGCTTGTTTACAATTCAGTACTGTGCAGTCTACGTGTATAAAATACTGTACATAAAATCTTCCTCGATTATTGTTAGATAAGTAAAAGCAGCTGAATTTGCTTTTATCACACTGCATTACCGCATTTGCCGTTTCCAAAGGTAAGTTAATAAAACCATACATCAGAAGCACCTTTCTGATTTCAAGTTGATGATTTTTTATTCATGATTTTTTTACGAAAATTCAGATAAAATGAAGATCAACATGATGAGCATATGAAAAAAGGTGATAACTTTTATATTTGTAGGCTTGCGTATGCGTGCTCTTATGCTTTTTCATGTGAAACAAGAAATACAGTACAGTATAAGCAACTGCCCAATTCAAAGATAAATTAACTGAGGACATCATCTGGAAAAATTTTTCTCTTTCAGATCTTGTGGAAGGTCGACAATATTCCGTTGAACGGATGTCTTGAATAACAATAACTTTTCGGACAGACCTCCGAGAATAACCACGATTGTAGGTAATCGGCAGCCTCTCCAAGTCAGCCTCGACGGTGCTGGCTTTAGTCTGATTGGCTTTCGCCATGTCCGGTCCGTTGGAGATGGAGACTCGTGATTTGATGCTACCAGCGCAGGTTTCTTCAATGACATCGTTCGTTTCCTCCGGCTCTTCGGTGCTGTATTTTGCCCGCGACAAGAAAGTGGCAAGGTTGAATCCAGGAATGCTGATGAACACCTCAATGAACAGCATCAAGAACGTCAGTCCGACCAGAAGGTACACTGCGAAAATATGCATAAGGACACGTCATCAACGCGCTACTCGAGCAAAACTAGTTGAATTAAATTAATAAATCGTTTTCTTTGAGTTCTAAAAAGAGAAGAGCCTATACGCGTACATGGGCAAGCATGACAAAGGCGTCTTGTGCTCTAACGTGAAGCACACCCTGGCTTGCTTTTTCGACCGCAAGCACCTACCAGCACACCCGTTTACTTTACAGTATAATAAACCGAAAATGCAGGCCCGAAAAATACAAACGTGACCCTTTCACCCTAGAGAAAACGCTGAATTGGCCAAAACCCGAGGGACGGCTTCTCATCGGACCTCCGGATGGAATAAGAAGTCACACGGGGCATAGAACCGGAAAGCGTTTGTGTTCAGCACAAGCGAGCGCCTTACGAGTTACGACCCAAGGCCTAACAGCAAGAGTACGGAATTTTTTGAATTAAACCACACCTCCTCGTCCATCAATAGCAAAACGTTATGCACCTTTAAAGAAACCATATAAAAAGTCGAAATTTACGTCCGACGAAAGGAGGCGCTTGAAGGTTTGAAGCATTGCATTCTCAAGAAATCGGAGTGCAGAAGCTGCTTTACTCCTACTACAGTATATAAGCATGTACAGTTGTATAGAATTACAGTTATGGTCATTATAGATTTTTAGTCAAGGCAAAAACCCACTTCTCAATTAATCAGGCGCGGGAGAATTGCAGTACAGCTCCGAAAAAAACTTTTTAGTTCCTTTGAGAACATCACGGATATAAAAAGTATTTGACAGAAATGTCCATTGGGTGTATTTTCTCAAGGAATTTGAAAATCTGAAGTCCGAGCGCCCAGCAATGAGATTTATGGTTTTATCTACCGATTCGGAATATCTCACCTTATAATCAGAATGAAGTCTTTTATTCTGAATTACATTGAGTTCTGTTCTCGTGTTCCGTAGTGAAAAATGTATCTCGTGCGGCAAGATGAACACGACGTTCAAAGCAAGCGAGCACAATATTCCTCCAAGGCTGACCAAGAATTCCGAATGTTTTGAATCAAATAAGTTCTAGATAAAGTATAAGGATTAAGTGCACTTACACATAGCTACTATCTTGTAGAATGCCCTGTAGACCTGGTTGGGGGCATCACCAGGCACAAAATCCCCAAGGCCGATGGTGGTCAGGGATATGAAACAGTAATAAAGAGAGTCAAGGAAGTCCCATCCTGGTTCAACGGCGTAGAAGGCCAATGCTGGCAACATGAACACGAAGACTAGCACCACAATGCCCAAGATGGTGACATGGATAATTCGGACAAGCTGCATGGAGCACCCCGGCAGTCGGAGCGCCAACAATGTTTGCCAACGGTTCAACGGGATTAACAAGCGCTCCACCAGCGCCGCGAAGAGGGTAAACGTCAGTGGGATCCCAATGGCAGCGTAAAATATGCAGAACAGCTTGCCTTCACGCGACAACGGAGTGACATGTCCGTAACCTGAGAGGAATCACGACGTCGTCAAAATAACCAGGCAAGGTAAATTGGGTGATTGAGGTACAAAAGGCCGGTACGCAGCCCTTGAAATGACTCGCTCACATTTCCACGCATTCCTATCAACGATAAAACTAGACTACACACGTACAGTATACAGTATTCGGGAATTCCTTTAATTCAGAAACAAGTTTTCCCAAAAAGCCAACAAGCATCGCAATCGTTATCATTTTCCAGCATCTTCACGCATCACAATTTAAGGAAATTTAGGGATTAAAAATGAGTCCACGAATTCATTTTATTCTTCTATACACATATACATATCTCATCTTACTTTTATTTTGCATGTTAGTTACGCCTTACGCGCAAAGTTGGATCAGCTATGCGTCGGATGTGTGTTCGGTTAACTTTGCCAAGTTCGAATTTACTTATGTGGGTTAGTAAGTTTTTCATTATTGCAGCAACGAAGCTGCAAAAAATACTAAAAGCGGCAGGCATTCAAGAGAAAAAATTAAGTTTTACAGCTGTCAAGAATTCCGAATTTCTAGAGAATTCGAATGAAATCTTCTCCAAATTGAATTCAAGCTGTTTTATTCGCAGCAGACTTATCATGCATAATCGAGAAAAGAATCCGCATTAAGAGTCCTACAATTTTTTCGATTTTAGACATAAAACCTGTCAAATATGCAATGATAAATTCTCATGTTATTCTAATTTCAACCGAAGCGTCATATAAGGAACGATCGCTGGCACATCCCGCGAGATAGATGAAAAGCTGGAACAGGGAGAGTGGACTTACCGATGGTGGTAACAACAGTACCAGAAAAGAAGAACGCTTGACCGAAGCTCCAGTTTGGTTCGGTGGTAGTATTGAAATGAGGAGAAACACCACGGTTGTGGGCCAGTATGATTCTCTCCAGCAGAAGAGCCAAAGCGGTTTCTGTCGGAAACCATTCAGATCAATGAAGAAAAATCAACAATGCCAAAAAACGCATTAGCTTCCCCTCGAGAATACAAATAGCAATACGGTGAATCTATAGGTTCTGCAGAAAAGGTCATCTCCACCCGTGGGCTGGAAAATCTGCGCTCAAGTGGAACTTCTGCTGCTTTTGTGCTGAATATGTCAAATTAAAACACATCATGACGTTCATCCAAAATGTAGTATGCGCAAAAATCAACGAATTTCCGAAAGAGCTAAGGCTTCTGAAATCCTCCCGGGCCACTGTAGCTTCATCCAGGACGAGAATGGTGGTGATCAATGCGAAGTTGCTGCAAACAAGTTGCCCCCCAAAAGTTCTGGTTTTTCCCTGTGACGAAACTTCACCAGGTTTACACCAAGAGATCCGTGATATCAAAGGGGTCTTACATTAGTTCTAAGCGTCTTTTTCTTAATGAAGTCCGAATACTCAAAACTAATTTCGTCATTAATTACAGACAAGTTGCTTCGTCTAACTCCCTGATCACAGCAAACGTCAAACTTGATGTCTTCGGGAACCGATTTCCGTCCTTGGAAACACCAGATGCACAATATCAGAAAAATTTAACCAACAGAAATCGCATTTTGATAGATTTAAGCATTGTCATTCAAACTCAAAATGTCTTCTCGTTGAAAGCATTCTTATGACGAGGTACAATAATTGTCCGGTTTCCACAACTGCATTCGCAATTCGCAAAATTTTTGTATCCTGACTTTAGCAAGATCCCCAATTTTATCATCTACAGGAACATGTCACCTCACGCAGTCCTGCAAAAATAGAGGGGAAACACAGCGATACTTAATGAGCCAAATCACGTTTATCTTGGAGATTATGCTCAAGATATGTATGCCCTCAAAGCCGGAAGGCCAAAATATTGATGCTGGTTTCCCACGTAGACGGACGCACCTAATCATTGGGCACGGATCCAAACAGCTTTGTTATATCATGACAGAAGTTTGTATCTGCTGCATACGCCTATACAGATCTACACAGTGACCCAATACAAGTCACGCGCGTTGTATCAAGATCGTATGAATGGGATAACGGCGCCATTGAGTCCCATGGTGCAATGTTTTCGATGAAGGAACTGAGCGTTTACTAATTGCGAGAATTTTTCATAACAATAAAATTGTTGAAGGCCGGGAAGTAGCGATGATTCATACCCATGCATTGTAAACCAGGAGTGAGACTCACCATTGATGCAGCCGAGATGTCCAGATGTGAAGGACCTAATATCAAAATCCAGTTGACGCTGTAGTTCGCGTTCCACGGGCTCTTCGAAGTAGGAGAACCCCACAGCACCCAGGGCCAAGAAAGCCACATATAACAGAATGAAGTAAAAGAGCACCCAGTTGCTGAGATTGATTCCGCAGCAAAGACGTCGAATAATTCCAGCCACCTAGTAAATGGATAACAGTTGGTAAACCGATACTTGGCGGCATGGAATAAGGTCGTCCCAAGCCCGACAGGAAGCGAAGTCAAAAAGTTCCCACGTTCCTCAATACAGAACCAACCTATGTTCCTCAAACGATTGCTCAACTGTTCTGGGTGTTGATAGAATGAATGAACGACAAACAAACCTCTGACCGGCCTTATTCAACAGTTTCAACCCGTGCTTGGCGATTGACCTATCGTAAAGCTGTGACTTCATTGTTGTGGATTACAATTGCTGGTCGGGGTGAAGCACATGTTTCTTCACACACACAAAAAATGATACAGATTAGACTGAGTAGTGCATATCTCTTCACGTGCAGGGACTTCAACCTCTGCGGATGTCCCAGGGCCTCCATGTGCAACGATTCGATTCAACTTAGAACTTGGAATACCGGATATCAAATTTCCTCAGCTTCATGAGAGAAATATTAAATTCAATTAAATATTCATCTTGATTAGTCAAATTTAGGCATTATATTCGACAAGTTTTGAGAATCAAGTTTGCTGATTATTTGTTCGTCCAGTTAGGTCTAGTTGGATACAGCACAATCCTGTTCATTTCACTGCGATTACTCGACATCACGGATTCCAAGAAAGGTACAGTATTCCAATCAGTTTTTTACTACTGTAACGTACGAAAGTACAGTATATTGTGAGAAAAAATACTCAATTTATTCGAAGGCGAAGACAATTTTGATCTCAGGAAAAAAGCGAACGACTGGATCAATCTAGAAACAAATATCTTTTCATCATTGGAACGCAGAGAGATTAGGATTGCTCCGCAGAGCGGAAGAGATCAATAATTTTAATCGTACGCCTCGGTTCATTCAACAGAGCGCACAAATTTGAACCTCACCGTGGGTCTAGCAGGCGGCGTCTCCTCTTCATCAGCGACCGACGCCAGGGATCCAGAACTGGAAGTGGTTAAATGTGACACGAGCTTCCCCTCGCCTTCTTTATCGGTTTCCACTTCGGTCTCCACTTCGGCCTCCACTTCGGTCTCCACTTCGGCCTCCACTTCGGCCTCCACATCGGCCTCCACATCGGCCTCCACATCGGTCATCTTTCACAAATGTCTTTTTTTTTTTTCACGTCACCGTCCGCCTCGATTATCTCCCTATGCACTTCGTTTTTGCTTCGCGACAGCTACCCGGAGCGCCTCGTTACAGGCTCTGAATAAGACCTGAAAACGCATCCGATAATGCGTCAAAACAGCTTCAATGCTGAAAGAGCAGTGACCTGAAAAACCACCCGGTCGACGTCTCCTAACGTCCAGGATATTTCTATGCCGAAAGCCCGCGCGATGTGATGAAGGAATTGCTGCAGCGAATACAGTACGAGAAGTATTTTCGACCAATGGGTGTCGTTGCAGTTACTAATTTCAAGCCGACTAAAGTTACTCTTTCTTCGCTTCGAGATTCGAGGACACCGGCGGAAGCACGGTACAGTATTAATCAATCGGTGTTCATACCTTTGAACACCTGTCATGAACTAAGTCACAAAAAAGGAGCCACAAAATTCAATAAAAGGATAACGACGAGGCATTCGCATTCGAAAAACGATCGATGACTCATCAGCATTATTGATCCAGTCGATGTAATTATCAGGGCACAAAGATGTTGAAAAATAATTCATCACATCGAACGTGCAAAATAGTGCAAAATTTTAGTTTTGTACTTCATGTATCATGAACGGGATCCTCACACGATATCAGATAGATAACCTCCGGAAAGTTCAGAGATTCACAATCTGCAGGGCGAGATCGCAGTCATTGTAGGAAAAGTTTAAATTACGAGGAACGAAGTACAATGCTTGAATAAGCCAGATGCACAAATAAGCAGGGGATTGTTTGCAGGAGAACCGAAAAACGGAAAACTCCGCATATACGAGTTCGAGTTGACGAACTCGTAAGTTCGTCAAAATACCAAGCATATGCTGGTGGAGCTAAGCATAGCAGGTCTACTCAGCTCTACCACAAAAAATAAAAGAGGCCTCGGCCAGGTAACTTCGCACAAGCTATGCTCAGGTCGAACACGAGGAGATTCCGCAGAAAATAATAATTCACGGAAAATAATAATTCTAGTAATTTATAGTGCCTCAGGAAACGAGGCTTAAGAATGCATCCCGCTCAGTATTCCACTCACGAAAGCAGAACGGCGATGCTTTCGCAAATGGAAAGACACTAAAAATTTAGAATGCATGAATAAATAGTGTACCAGCTTCGTTTCCGCTTGGATAAATATAATTCCACTCCAACACGAGCTTTCGACGGAACTTTCGCACCGCTCGACACATCGTTGAAACTGAAGCAGAAATTTTCCCGAATTCGTGCCCGCGGCTTCTCCATGAAGCACCCTTGGCATTCGGTTGTGCAAACGACGCAACGATATTTCCTTTCATTGTGTCGCTTTTCGGCGATCACGGAGCGGACGCGGCGCAGTTTGACCTTTCAGCGAATGGCAACGGCATCCGTGAGCTCAACCCAGTGCAGTATTCCATTCACACAAAAAATATAATTTATTTGCACCGCAGTAATGAAATCAGCGTTGCTTTCGTGTGAAGCAGTCCCCGGCAGAATTCGGAGCAAGAAAACAACCCACGGCTTTCCGATGGACTGCGCTGCTTCGACTTCCGCTCAGCATGAAAGGCACGTATTTCAGATATGGGGGTCTGGAATACAACTTGGCACCGCAACGACCTCCACTAAAGTCAAAAAATAATAATATTGTGGACGACGTAGTTCCCCTTTATAGTTCGCAATGAAGTGGCCCCACCAACGCGGTGGTTAAAGCACGACACCACGGCAAGGGAAGTGTGTTTAGAACGTGATGAAAATCCCATAAGTTTAGAGGGAAGCATTTCAGCAGGTTGCAAGATTTCGAGGGTCATTGCGTTATCTCCAATAAAGCAGAAGAAGACTAACGATCTTACACCGTCGTTCCTTCACTCGGGACATGATCTCTTCAAGTCTACACATAATTATTGTACTGTACTCCGCTTTTCACGAGCAATTAAACAAACACGCAACATACTTCGAAGCAGTCGAGAAGATAAGATATTCAAGTGACATGGTACGAAAAAAGTGAGCATGTCAAGAAACAATTGGGTTTCTATTTTAGGATTTTTTTTCCATCTAATGCCCCATATCCTCACCAAACAAGATCCAAAAAATAGCCCTGTTCTCGCTCTCTCCAAGTTACCCGCCCTCTCCAAGTTACATAGAATCTCAAAAGAGCAATTTGTTGTAAAGTTCAATCGGCACACGTTTTATTTCATTCTGCTGGCATTCCGTTCACCCGTCTTCCACAAATAATTATACGAAATTCAGCAATTAAACTACATTACTGGCAAACATGAAGGATGAAAAAGATAATGGCTACGTGAATCTACCGTCAGTCTGAAATTTACATCTTCATTTACAGGAAAATATTTAATTTTATGCAAAAAATAAAGGCTACGTGAATCTCCCGTCAGTCTGAAATTTAAATTTCCATTTAAAGGGAAATATCTAATTTTACGCAAAAAATAAAGGCTATGTGAATCTCCCGTCAGTCTGAAATTTGCATCTTAATTTACAGGAAAATATCTGATTTTAAATCACATTATGCATGTTATGCATGGTGTGTATTTTTGTCGCTTCGTGAAATTTTAATGCATTTCTCTCGCAGTTCAGATGAATATGAAGGGATTGATCAGATTGCATCAATAATCGTCGATTCAACGAAATTTAGTGCTGAATCTTCGAATATTTCTTCGTTCAATTGATGACTAAGACTGCCACCTTCATGCAACCTCCAGCTGAGCTGATAATCTCGCCCAACGAAATTCATTCCACTGTGTTAGCTCGAACTTACAAAAATCTTCGGACAAACAAAAATAAGCTATTTGATTACATTGCCGTTTTCATCTGTCGGACGATTCCCTTAAAAGTTGAAAAAAATGTCGGCGGAGAGAATCGATTTTAAAATATGCATGATATTCTGCGAGAAGGGAAATCATTTTCATTGACGCTCGAATGATGGAAGATTCATTATCATTTACCCTTGAATCTTGAACAAAGCAATCTCTGTTAGTGGCCATCGAAGACCCAGAAAAAGGGCCGGACCAAGTAACGGTTAAAAATGCGATGCGAGAAACTAACGAATGGTGAAGAATGGTCATGACGAATTAAGATTGACCATTAGGATACAGAGATCAGCGCAGCAGCCGTTGCTCAAAGACGTCGAATCATAAATTACATACGGTGTGGTGCATGACACCGTTTCAGTTCTATTAATTTAGTGTACAGTACAGTACTGTATTTTACTTCCAACAAGTCCTTTACTGGTTCAATAATGCTGTCATGTTCTTCACTTCGCCATCTCGGGATAAGAAGTACCGCCATTAAATGAAAACCATATGATTACTCATCACGAGGAAAAGTGCGCCAGGAAGATGAGAACGAAGCTTGTGCATTAATAACCTTCAAAGAGAAATCATTACCCGAAAGACACAATATTGCGCGCAATCTCATCCTATTGTAACATCCCTGTAACTGTTCAGCACGATTATTTAAAGCGGAAGGCTATTTCAAGCACAAGAGTCTCACGACCCCAGCAAAGTACAACGCGTGCAAACGTTGACGGGAGAACTGCATGGTAAACATCAGCGAGATAATGAGCACAGCTGAGGTTGGAGGAGGGGGGTAGTATGAGTCATCAATTGAACAAAGAAATATTACAAGATTCAACCTAAAAATTTCGTTAAATCTAAAATTATTGATGAAATCTGATCAATCCGTTCATCTTCACCTGAAGTGCGATAATGGTGCATTAAAATTTCAAAAAGCAACAAAAATAAATCATCCGCTAGCATAATGTGATGTTTCCCTGTACATGAAGGCAGAAATTGTAGACTGACGGGAGATTTACATAACATTTATCTTTTTGCATCTCTTTAATGCCACTGTTCGTAAAATCTGCTTCATTTAAAAATGCACAAATAATCCCAAGTTGACCTCACCCGCCACCCACTCGCTCAAAAAGCGATTTGGAAGTAAAGCCGATGAAGTTCGCGAGGTTGTTTGCTGAATATTGACGCACTTGATTAAACATGAGGCAAAGCACAGCAGCTGTTCAGTATTGAAGTCGTGACAGCAGATCAAACCTACAGATTACCGGGAAAAATATTTTCGCGCAGAAAAATAAGGTCGGAACATCATACTTACCAGGGGAGTGT